CATATCTTTCCTTCTTCTTTCCTTGTCTCGATGCTCCATTTCTTCAAGCCTTCGGATTGCCGGTAGCTCATCCCCTTTCATTGCAACTCCCAACTCCTTGATATAGCTCTATAAAGCTTCAGAGTCTTTAATTTTGCTCTTCACTCTAATCCCCTTGTTGCAGTTTTGTATATTACTATCATTTATGGAGTCACCTACAATTGAGTCCGCTGGATCAGCTTGGAATATGATTTGCTGCGTCATTTTCTCTGTCACCGATTGAGTTCCTTTCTTCTTCTTCTTCTTCTGCACCAGAACACCTTCAAGCCCGCCAGATTTCATATACACTGAACGGCACAGCTTCACTTTCCTTTTTTTCTTTTTGCTCTTCTTCCCTTCAAGAACTTTTGCCCACTTCGGTAAGTCCCCTGCGTCGCTGTCCATGTCTTCCCAGAACAGGTCTGATTCTGTTGCTCCTGGCCTCACGTGCTTGCCCTCTTTTAATTTTTCTTTGGTTTATTTACTTATCTGATATGGGCTTTGCACTTCTTGATTTTTCCCACCCAATATTGGCCCGTTACTACTCTTACCTGGATCCATCTCATCATTTAGCCCACCCGGCCCATTTCCTTTTGCAATTTTGTCCGTTGTTATTTTTGAAATTTTCTCCCCCCCTATCTCTCTCCTTTCCCCATTATTGAAACTGTAGCTGTTCTCGATACTCTCTCTGCATGTTTCCGTCTCCAGCTGGACCTGTCCCTCTTCCTTCTCGAGCCCATCACTCATTAATTGCTTGCTTGTAAGCCCTTCCAAACTACCCGTTGCGCTCCCTGAACTCTGCTGCTTTTCGGCTGTTCCCGCTAACACCAAATCTTCATCTTCTGCTGCTTCTCCAGAACCTAACACGCTCCTTTCTTGTCCTTTTGGTTGACCCTTCTTCTTAACAATTGATGTGTCCCCCTCTGATGATGCCACCGTGTCCATATTTCTCTCCGCCTCTTGCTGATTTGTCTCCTGCACTCCTAATTGAATCTCCACGCCATCATCTTCTTCAAATCCTCTATTTTCTGCAGCTTCCATTCCAGGCATGTTGAAATCTGTACCGACAGATCCGTCCGTTGAAGATTCCTCGCCTTCCTCGTAAGCTTCTTTAATCTTAAAATCTGTATTTATAACATGCATCCCGTTGCTAGACTCCTCCTCAGAGAACTTAACTGTAAAAATGATTCCATTAACCTTTATTGATAAAGATTTTGAAATGGATTCCGTTACGGGCGTTGATAAGAGGAATCGAGCAACGTCAAGGCGTTTTTTCTTGCTTGTGCTATCATCCACCGAAACAAAAGTGTCCCACAGATTTCCGAGTGATTGGAAAAAGTCCGTCTTCCATGTGTGTAGAGGTAATCCCAAGCATCTAATGGATGCGAACCTCTCCCTTGCCACCATGTTTGGTGACCATGGTTTGATTTCTTCGAACCAATTTCCTAACCAATCTTTGCCATTTTCGACCAGCTCCTTTAAGTCTTCATATTCATTTCCTTCTAACAACACCAACCTTCCTCCCATTGCTCTGATCTTGCAGTAAAAGACTCCTTCCATATAAAATTTCTCCTGCAAAGTTGGAATCAAGGTTATGGAATGAACAGTCCCAACAAAACATTTCTCCAGCCACTGGTACTCTTCCTTGTTAACTTTGAGCTCCATTCCTGTCCATGCTTGTGGTTGTATTTTAGGCTTCCATCTCCATCTTCTTTGCTCATTTGCACTGTTAGTTTTGGTATGATCCCTTCCTTCCGCTCCGTGGAAGTGTCCCCTTCTCATTCCATGCACTTTGTTTTCTGCTGTCATTCCTTTGACTGCATCCGCATAAGACTTTTTCTGTTGCCATTCAGCATCATCTTTAACCATCCCTCTCCTTATATTTTCTGTGTTCCAGTGGTGCTGTTTTTCATGCCATGTTTTACCAAACCGTGGTTTGTTGGCTTGAAGTTTGATTCCTGCAATTTGAATCTGATTCAACTTTCTTTCCAGCTCACCAGTATCTTTAACCTCCAAGAATCTAACAAACCCAAATCTCCTTCCCAGTCGATCCCTCTTCTTTGGGCATTCAATCTCGATCACCCTACCCCCGTCCAACCTGTTGAAAGTTTTCCACATCTGTTCAAAAGTCCAATCTTCTGGAAAGTTTGTGAAGAAGAATGGAGTTGCTTGATTGTATACTTTCTTCTCAAAACCCCCATAAAATTGCATTGGCCGATCCTTGCTCTACATCTGGATACCCTCATACCGCTGTGTTGTCCGCTGTCCTCGTGTTCTATTGTCGACCCTTCTCTCCCAGCCTCGCCCTCTCTCTCTCGATCTCTCTCTCATCGTGTCTCTTCCTTCCCTTATAATCTATGGAGCCAGATAATTGTCACTCCAATACAAGTACACCTAGGCTACCCACCCAGCACTTTCATTTCCTTACCCCTTTTTGATCTCCTTCGCGCATTCCCTAGCTAGGAGAAGAGGTCCAGTCCTTGAATGAAAAATCCACCTACCCTACTCTTCCTGTTAGCCATAGAAAAAATCATGTTTGAACTAATTTGAATAATTTCTCCTCATCAGCATCAATTGCCTTAAATAACAGTTCGTTTCTATACAACTATAAAGTCCATACAACAACAAACTATACAACCTCCGACCCACCATTGCCTGTCCTTCTCATATTTGTCCAAAAGTATTATTGAAAAGCTTGCTCTAAATTACCATGCATGACCTAGGAAAAACCCCACCACCTTAAGTATTTTGACCGTAGTTTTCACGCAATCAGGCAATTTAATAGCAAATGATCGACACTTTCATTGCAGGAGCCACACAAATTACAAATAACTTGGGGTTCCTCCACATTTCACAGACTTAGCGCAAGATGATTCTGATTTGCGTCATTAGAATTCGATATCCTCCAATGCTTAAGAAAAGTAATTTTGTAATTGAAATAATTGATTTATGAAAGAATTTTACGTTAACAAATTTGTTACATGATGACTAATAGCTCAACTCAACTTTTTATGGTTCTAGAAAAGAAAAAATCAAACATCTCTATATTAAAAATGTTAGTATATTTATTTACAATTATTAAATGTGTAAGATATAATATAAGTTTTAATTTTATTAAATTTATCATATAACTATTATTAAATATTTTACCATTTTTAAAACTAAAACATCTTGATTTTTCCTTTTTCTTGTAGTAATCAAGAATATAATTACAACTCCAAAATGACAAAAAGCAGCCCCTGAGAAAACACATAAAATACAAAAACAGTGAAAAAAAGAAAACACGGGTTTGAACTTCTAGCTACAAGAACCAATGGGAAAAAGATGCACTAGGAGGCCAGAAGGCAACGACCGGGAAGGAAGAATCCAATACTGAGGGCCAGGGAGCTACGACCATGAGAACAAAAGTAAGAAAGGCACCACTAACTACTAAATAAGGACGCAAAATAAAAAAACCATTATTATATATCCATACCCTCTTTATTTCATTACAGAGAAATGGAAGATTAACCCTTGGCTATCGTGAAGGCCAAAAGAAAAATGTGGCATGGCGATCCTTTTCATGGAAATGTTGAAGACGCGGAAGTAGGAAATTAAAGGTTTAAAAAAAAATAAAATAATACTTAAATTACCGCGTTTGTTGTTGAAAAGTGAAAGCGGATGCAACCAACCAATGGGGAAACTACCGCCCAATTATGGGGTAATTTATGTTTCCTTTTCCTTTTTTTTTTCTTTATATGTGGACAGTGATCAAGAATTAGTTTGTAAGAGAAGAAACCACTTTGATTCACCATATGGCGATTTCTTTGTCACGTATGCAAGATTTTCTAGATTCGAATGGAAGGATTTTTATGCAGATGGTTTCTGGTTATTCCCAGTGCCTTATATTGTCCGGACAATACTCCTGCTCAATTGGGTTATAGAGAAGGTGAATTATCAAATTAAATGTTTATTTTAATTAACATATTATATATTTTTAAAATAGTAAAAAAAATTTAAAAATTTTAAAAGTTAAAACACCAAGTGGGGGTGCTCTTATATGAAATTATAATTTAATTAGTTACAAAACTGATTAATTTCCCTTAAATCAAACATTTTTTAAAGCATATGATTTCAATTTCATAGATGCAGATCTTATTCTCATTTTTACAAATCATAATTCTAACAAAATCCATCTTCTTAATTACGTTCATAAGTCAAATATAGAGTTTGATTATCGGATCGTCTTCTTCCATAATATTGTCATTCACCCGTAAAATAAAATTCATGCTAGCCAATTAACGATCAGTCATTTTGACTCGAAGAACTTAATTATAATTGGTTCACTAATCTACCCAAAGAAAGAAGATTTTTTTTTGGCAAACCTTTTATTTCTTGACGGATAATGATATATATATAAATAATTTTTTTAATAATCATTTTATAAAATTTTTATATATTATTAAATAAATAAATATATAAAATATCATACAAATATGAATTAAAATAACAAATTATTTAAATAACATGTAATATTTTATATAAATATTATTTCTAAATCATTTTTTATTTTTTTAATGCTCCACATTTACATCAGTAGGATTTCAACTCATGACCTTTTATTTTTATTGGAAAAAAATTACCAACCACTTAAGTCTTAATTTTTTGTTAAACAAAAGGGAATTTGGGGGAAGAAGGATTGATTTTTACAAAAATTAAAACTAAGGCACTAATCCAAGTAAGCTTTGCACCTTATTCAACGCAGTTAATGCTCTTAAGTCTTAATTAAATCTTAAGAATTTGTATGTATATATTTTTGGGGGTTTTGCCATCTAGGCTTTTAGGGCTTTAGACTATGAAAAGTCTATGTCCATATTCTTAAGTTTTTAAAATTACTTTATGATTTTAAGATTTTAGTTTAAAATTTAATTTCAATGGGACCTAAAAACGACTTGTGTTTTGTAAGAAGAAAAAGGTGAGAAAAGCACGGTAATTTTCTGTACTCAACTTTTAAAGGAAAAAATATTGATAGTTGAGCAGTAATTATATGAAATGAAAATTACACACCTTAATCTTCATAGAAAGCATATCAACCAAAACCGTATTTTATGTGTATTTTCAGTCTCTAATGATTTTAATGTTAACACTGAGAGTGTGTATGATAGAGTTTTAAAAGTATTTACTTTAAAAATATTATTCTTCTCTTATAAATTTTAAAATTTTATTAAAAATTCAAAAATTATCTTTTAAAATGAGTTTTAAACAAGTTTAGAAAAGTCTTGTTTAAAACTCACTTAAAAAGCTAAAATTCAGTGTTTTCTTTGAATAAAATTTTAGATTTATAAGTAAAAACAATATTTCTAAAGTAAGTACATTTTAAGTTTTACTAAATATCTTCTAAAATACTCTTATGAAGTCAGACATTTTTAAGTATCTCTTAGTTTGAAACGATAGGATCTGTATTAAACTATTAATTTTCACAAAATCACATTTTAGAGACCTAGCGCAAGGTGATTCTCATGATTTGCATCATTAGAGTTTGATATCCTCCAATGTCTAAGAAAAGTAATTTTGTAATTGAAATATTTGATTTATGAATGAAGTTTTACGTAAACAAATTTGTTACTTTGACTATAGCTCAATTCAACTCTATAGTTCCATTAAATGGGAAGTCATCTTTAGCGAGAATGAGAGGTAGAGAGAGAGTGGGCTGGGATAGCAGCAAAGCACATGGATGGCGGACATCATGGAACTGGGAGTTTTCCAGAATCTAGAGAGGGTATCGAGAAGAGCAGCTTCAAAACTTTCCAACCAGAAGGCTAAGGAAGAATTAGGATGTGTGGGGATATGACAGAAGGGTGTACAATCAGGCATCAGTGTTTTTTTTCACTAACTTCCTTGATGACTGGAGTTATGAAGACGTGGTATACTTTCCGCAAATATGGTAGAGTCTTGGATATCTACAACCCGTTGACGAAATTGAAGTCAAGGAAGAGATTTAGCTTTGTAAGATTCTTAACTGTTAAGGATGAGGTGGTGTTGGAGCGCCAACTAGACCAAATCACAGTAGGGGCATCCAAATTGTGGGTTAACAAACCAAGGTTCAAGAAAGAGGAGGAGAGAAGCAGAGTTGTTAAAAGGCCAGTTGAGAAGAATCATGTTAAACCACGGAGATCCTATGCAGAGGTTGTGAAAGGAAATCATGGGATGATAGCCAATAAAATGATACAACCACAGTCGGTAATGGATGTTGGATCTGATCAAAATATGCAGCAAAAAGGTGATTGGCCCAAAGCTACATCACGAATATGGAAGGTGAAGAATGATGATTGTGTAAGCGATGGCTTGGAGTTCACAACGAAAGAGGAGGATTTCCTTTGGCTAAAAGGCTGTTACGTGGGAACTTTATATTCAATGGAAATGATACTGACATTACAAGAGAAATTCTTCATGGAAGGGTATTTCTCTTGTAAGGTAAGACCAATGGGAGGACGATTGGTTTTATTAGAGGGTAGCGATCAGGATGAGATCAAGGATTTGGCCGAAATAGCAATGGATTGGTTAGGGCAATGGTTCGAAGATGTAAAACCGTGGGACCCAACAATGGTTGCCAGAGAAAGGTTCACGTGGCTTCGTTGCTAGGGTGTCCCAGTTCATGCTTGGGGGCCAGAGTTTTTTGCTACAATAGGGACTATGTGGGGGAAATTTATCTCCTTAGATTACAACACTAGCAAAAAGAAACGCTTTGACATAGGGCGTATATTGATCTCTACTCCAGTCATGAGCTTCATCACGAAATCTATGAAAATCAAAGTTAATGGGGAGCCAGACGTGATTAAGGTAATGGAGGAAAAGGCCACTAATGGCATATTTTCTATGAAGTCCGATCATGTGTTCAAAGAGCTAAGTGCTTCAGATGAGTTTAGCTCAGAATCTTGGTCCTTACACAGTGAGATTGAGGGTGCTTGTGGCGAATCTGTTCATGGTGGAAGCTGGGTCGGGGGCAAATGGAAGGACACTGTAATACCCAAGGATTTCTTACTTAAGACTTAAATAAATTATGTAAGCTCTTAAAGGGTGTATATGTGATAGGATTAAATTTGGGGTTAAAATTATAATGAGGTGAAGGACTTAGGGACTAAACCTTATAATTAAAGCTCAGGGATTAAGTGGCAATATTTCCTTTTGTAAAAACCCCAAATCAGATTTGGCTCGGAGTTTCTTTTTTTTTTTTCTTTCATTCTTTTCGGGGAAACAGGATCATTCTCTTCTCGCCAGCAAGGGGAAACAGCTCTAGGGATCTGCCATATTAGATTAATTGAAAGCTCCGAATAGTTGTGTGGAATTGCAATTGAAAGATAGTTATTGAGGTAAATAGCTATATCCTCCAGTGGTTTTAAAATAAATTGATATGTTTAAATGGGTTTTGCCCAGATTTGATTTATGTATCTATTTGATTATTTGTTCATCTATTTCTTAGAGAATGATTTATACTAAATATTTTTAATGATGGAATGAGATGATTTATGAATCGAGCATAATATTTTTATTTAAATTTGAAATGAGATTGTGGCCATGTGGAGGTGGCTAATTTAAATGTGTTTTCTCCAATATTATTGAAATTGTTATTTTTGGAACGATTTCTTTTATTCGTCCTGGCTGGATAATTCACCCTTGTGAGGGTTGAGTTGTTGGTATTGTGATAGACCCGGGATCTATGGATTGTAGATTGTAGATGGTGGATGGCGGATGGTGGATGGTGGATGGTGGATGGTGGATGGTGGATGGTGGATGGTGGATGGTGGATGGTGGATGGTGGATTGTGGATCGTGGATTGTGGATTATGTATTGTGGATTGTGGATCGTGTATTGTGGATTGATGATTCAGTATCATTGATCGTGGATTGTGGATTGTTGTACGGCCTTCAAGGACGAAAAATGAAATCTTTTGGTTTCGAGGAAAGAATTGTATTTTTCTTTATCGTTTCGTTTTCAATAAAAATTTAGTTTTAAATTTTTATATTTGGTTGTGATGGATGGGTATACTACTTATAGAGTTCTTAAACTCACGTTTTCAGATTTCATCCCATTTCAGGTGAAGAAGTATGAGCATTGGGATCTGCATGGGGATTGAGAGATCGTTAGGATAAATTGGCAAAAATTTAGCAATAGCTCAATTGGAAGTTTATTTGGTTTTATGGAATAAGGTGTTAAACACTTTATGTTTTGGTTAAAGGATTTGATATTGCTTTTTGGAGACTATTAAGATTTGCTAATGGAATTGTAAGAATAGCAAAGGAGATTGTATTGATAATCGAGGAATATAGCCTTACACATTTATAGGGTTAACCTATAGATGTGTGGCGTTTGTTATGCCTAAACCTTTGGGTTGGGGCGTGACAAACATAGATGACAGATGTGATGAAGATGACATGGAAAGAGGCAGTGAGATAGCAAAGGAGATTGTATTGATAATCGAGGAATATAGCCTTACACATTTATAGGGTTAACCTATAGATGTGTGGCGTTTGTTATGCCTAAACCTTTGGATTGGGGCGTGACAGACACAGATGACAGATGTGATGAAGATGACATGGAAAGGGGCAGTGAGGTGGAGGCTGAGGTTGAAGTGGAATCTACCCACAGGCAAGGGCGAGATGAAAAACAAACGAAGAGCTATAGGAAGGTGGCAATGGCTATAGGAAACAAATTTGAATTTAAGAGTGCTGAAGGAAAAATGATGAGGTGTGATGGTTCCAATGAACAGACAGGAAAAGACTACATAGCTAGAAGCATTGGGAAAAATCAAAACCTTTTTATCACCAATCAAGGGGAAACGACGGAAGTTATAGGCTATGTGCCTGATAGGATGAGTGAGCATTTAATGAAGAGTCAGAAACAAAATTCAAATAATGTGCAGGGTGACTCAAGTGGGCCTTCTAGTCCACTTATATCCAAAAGGCAAACTCAGGGGGAGGTATCCAAGCCTTTTTGTCAAGATTGTTTGGATGAGGGGGGAGACTGGGCCACTAATATGGGCCTAGAGGAGGGATACAGCCTGCATGACAGTGAAATGGAAAGAGAAAATGAAGGAAGATTATCAGAGAAGGTTTGTGAGCAGCAAAGTTGCAAAAGGGATTTGGTTCGAACAGAGACAAGTAGCATTGAAAATTCGTTTTGGCAAGGCTTTGAAAGTGAATCAGGGCAGTTGAAAGATTGGATGGGTAGAAGAGAGGTGAGATCCAAAAAACAGAGGGTGAAAAGGATGAGGTCTTGCTCTGTAGTATATAAGAATTCCAGAAGAGTGATACAGCCATCTATGGAGGGGATTTGCAATAAGTTGAAGAAAAACCGAAAACTGGAAGAACTAATGTCGAGATTCTGCTCAGGTGACCAAAACCAAGTAGTAAATGAGTCTATCGCAGACAGTGGTATTGAAAACATGAATAGATGTCTGCGCTTTGAAGCTGATAAAACCAATGGAGTGTAGATTTGGAGCTTTGCTAAGGAAATTGGTGTTGTTGCTTGAGGAAATGAAGATGAGGTCTTGCAGAAGCTAAATGCCATGGAAGAAAGAGACAAGGAGCAATATAGAAAAGCAGCAGCTAAAGCGGCTGGCTTAAGGTGAAACAAAAGTGTAGAATTAAAATGATTTTTATGTCAACTAATGTCAGAGGCATGGGTGGAGATGGGAAGAAAAAAAGGGTCAGAGAACTAGTGGCTCGAGAGAAGGTGAAATTTTTATCAATTTAGGAAACTAAAACAGAGTTGGCTGACTTCTAATTATGTAGAGCCTTATGGGGATCAGATAATTTTGAATGGGTTGCTCAACCTTCAAAAGGTATGGCTGGTGGCTTGATTTGTATTTAGAACTTTGATTTATTGAAAAAGGATAGAATTATTAAAGGTGAAAATTTTATTGGGATCTCTGGTTTTTGGGGGACATCTAAGACTCCTGTTAATATCATTAACATATATTCCCCTTGTGAATTACCTGGAAAGAGGGCTTTATGGACCTCCCTTAAAAATCTCAGCACCGAAACTGGGGGGAATTGGTGCTTAATGGGTGATTTCAATGCAGTGAGAAATGAGCGGGAAAGAGAGGGAGGAAGGAGTATTAGAAGAGAGATGGTAGAGTTTGATGATTTTATTAATGATTGTGGCTTAGTTGACCTGCCTTTAATAGGTAGAAAATTTACTTGGTACCAATCTAATGGAGCTACGATGGGTAGGTTGGACAGATTTTTGCTTTTAGAAGAATGGTGCTTGAAATGGGAGAATGTTAAATAATGAGGCTTGCACCATTCCTATTCTGATCACTGTCCAATAGTACTTAAAAATCAAATAACAGATTGGGGCCCCAAACCCTTCTGTTTCTTTGATGCATGGATTGAGTTCCCTGGGTTTAAAGATATGGTGGGTGAGGTATGGGAGTCAACAGCAGTTAATGGTTGGAATGGGTATCGATTGAAGGAAAAGCTGAAAGAAACAAAGAGGGTATTGAAGGTTTGGAGCAAAGATACGATGTCAGAGATAGACTTGAACATTCAAAGAAACATTGATTCTATTGCCAATATTGACATAAAAGGTGAACTACTGCCATTATCTGTAGAAGATATTGAGGCCAAAAGAACAAGCTTCCCGGATTTATGGAAAAATCAAAGGATCAAGCAAAGCATGTGGCATCAAAAAGCTAGAAAGATCTGGATTTGTGAAGGAGATGCAAATACAAAATTCTTCCATAGATGTGTGAAAGGATGAAGAAGAAAGAATGAGATTATGAGTATCAAGGTGGGCATGGAGCAACTAAAAGAAGTCAATGAAATTAAAAGAAGGGTGGCCAAATATTTTGAAAATATGTTTGAAGAAGAAGATTGGCAGCGGCCAGTGCTTGGTGGGATTGATTTTAAGAAGCTCTCAGTGGAGGAGGGGGCAATGTTGGAAGAACCATTTAATGAGGAGGAAATTAAGAAAGTTGTATGGAGCTGTGAGAGTTCAAAGGCGCCAGGCCCCGATGGGTTCAACTTTAAATTTATCAAGGTAATGTGGGAGGTGCTCAAAGAAGACATAATGGGTTTTGTGAATGATTTTCATAAGCATGGTAAATTTGTTAAAGGAATCAACAGTTCTTTCATTGCACTTATATCTAAAGTTGATAACCCACAAAGAATTGAAGAATTTAGACCTATCTCACTAGTTGGTGTTATGTACAAGATTATTGCAAAAATGTTAGCATGCAAATTATCGTCAATTTTGAATGGAATTATTGGGGAAAACCAGATGGCGTTTTTTTGGGGGAAGGCAACTTGTTGACAGTGTAGTCATCGCAAATGAGACTATTGATGAAGCTCAAAAAAGAAAAAAGCAGGTTTTGTGCTTAAACTTGACTTTGAAAAGGCCTATGATAAAGTTTGTTGGGAGTTCTTGAATTATATGATGCGAAGAATGGGGTTTGGCCAAAAATGGAGATGATGGATAAATGAGTGTCTGAAGACGGTAGATGTCTCTATTCTAATTAATGGCACCACCACCAAACAGTTTAAGATGCATAGAGGCCTAAGACAAGGTGATCCCCTCTTTCCCTTCTTATTTTTGATAGTTGCTGAGGATCTAAATGGCATCATTTCAGCTACAATATCTCATGGGTTGTTTGAGGGAATTGAAATTGGCTACTGTGGTATGAAAGTCTCCCATCTACAGTTCGTTGATGACACGATATTGTTTGGGAAAGCCTCTGAAAAGAACATTTGGGCTGCAAAATGTATTATAAGGGTGTTTGAGATTGTCTCAAGGTTGAAGATCAACTTCGAAAAAAGCTCGCTTATGGGTATCAATGTCTCGGATGAATGGAGGACTAAAATGGCTACTATTCTACATTGCAAACAGGGAGTCCTTCCTTGTAGATATTTGGGGGTGCCGATCCGAGGTAAATGTAGAAGTATTGCAGTGTGGAGACCTATTATCGAATCTTTTAGAAAGAAACTTGCAAGTTGGAAGAACAAGTTCATCTCTCTTGGGGGAAGGATCACGCTCCTTAATTCCGTGCTGTCAAGTCTCCCAGTGTTCACCATGGCTGTTCATCTCCTTCCAAAAGGTTTGATTCTCTTACTTGATAAAATACGTAGGAATTTTCTTTGGGGGGGGTGAGGAGGATAGTAGGAAGATAAATTGGGTTTGTTGGGAAAATATATGCAAAAGTAAAATGGAGGGTGGGTTAGGGGTGAAAGAGCTAAGAAGGTTCAATCTTGCAATGTTAGGAAAGTGGTGGAGTAGGCTAGCGGGGGGGTGAGGAAAGGCTACCGTACAGGGTAATTTGTGAAAAATATGGAAGTATAGGAGGCAACTGGTTGAATTGGATTGAAGAAGACAGTAAAAGGGGATCCTTATGGTGGAGGAACATATGTCGATTAGACTATTTGTACCCTAGTAGAATTAGGTGGCTCTCATATGGCTTTAGGCTAAAATTAGGAGAAGGCAACTCTGTTAGTTTTTGGAAGGATGTGTGGATGGGTGATACCCCTCTAGCTAACAAATTTCCAAGACTATTTTTGATTTCTTCAGGCAAATCAAAGACCATTTCTCAAATGGGATATTGGAATAATGAGAGCTGGACCTGGTCACTATGTTGGAGGAGGCCTATTTTCTCATGGGAAGAAGAACAGATGTCGGAGTTATGGAGTCTAATTCAGTCACCTAAACCAATAAAGGATCGGAGAGATCGTTGGGAGTGGAAACATGACAATGGTTCCTACTCTGTTAAATCAGGATGTTATGCCCTTTCCAGTAACCAACAAGAGAGCAGGACCTATTTTTACAGAAGAGTTTGGAATAGATTGGTCCCATCGAAAATTTCTGCTTTGTGTGGAAAGTTCTACAAGATCGAATCCCCTCGAAGCTGAATTTGTATAAAAGAGGTATCATTTCTGAGCTGAGCCTGGCTGTATGTAGTTTATGTAGGGAAAGCATTGAAGACGCAAACCCTTTATTTCTTCACTACAATGCTGCATATTCAATGTGGTCTAAATGCCTCCAATGGTGAAGGACTACCTTAGTAAGAGCGGATAATTGTTATGCATCTTTTGAGCAACACCCATCCCTTTTTAAAAGTGTAAACATCAGAGCAGGATGGGATGTTGTATGGTTTGCAACAATCTGGTCCTTATGGGTTGCTAGGAATGAAAGGATATTCAAATGTCATGAACAGGAAGTCAATATGATCTTCGAACTAGTGTAGCTACGCTCATTTCAATGGATTAGAAGCAAAAAAGTAAGGTATTCCTTTAATATAGCCAACTAGATCTTGGAACCAATGGAATGCTTGAGAGATAAATGTGACAGATAAAATGGAGTTGGTGCAGTGTGCAGATTTGGAGTTTAAATGTGCTGTGCTGTCTTAAAGTCCTAAACTGTGGTAGCAAGAAGAATATTAAGAAATCTGCAATTGCTAGGTAGAACTGTGGGAGATAAACAGGGGCACCTTAATTTTTTGGTGGACAAAGCAACCTAGGTTTGACAAGTGGGAAGTTTTTGAGGATCTGAACAGTGATATATGAAGAAAATGCAAATGAGGACAAAAATCCGACACGGGTATAGTGTCGACACATAATTTTGGTGTTGACAACATATGGTAAGCATCCAAAACTCCAACACGGACATAGTGTTGACACATAATTCAGGGATCGACACCATATGATAAGCATCCAAAACTCCGACACGGACGTGGTGTTGACACATAATTTAGGGGTCGACAGCATACGAAAGGGTTATTCCATTCATGTAATATGATGCCCTTCAAGTTATGATATTTATGGGTTTGGGATACCCCTATACTCCGTTTATTAATAAATATTATTTTCTGTTCAAAAAAAAAAAAAAACTCTATAGTTCCATTTAAGAAAGGTTAAAACCTCAATTTGGTCTCTCTATTTTGGTAAAAAACCTCTTTTTAGTCCCTCTACTTAAAAAAGTCCTTTATTGGTTCTTAAAGTTTGAAATTCGACCCCCTTTTTAGTTACTCTATTAAGTTTTGACGTTAAATGAATGAAATTTAAAAAAATGACTAAAAAGGACTTTTTCTTAAAGTAGAGAGATAAAATCAAAGCCATTTTAACTCTTTTTTAGCCTCTTTTTCGTCTCTCTACTTTGAAATTTCCATTAACTAATTTGTCACATATGTAAAATTTAACGGAAGAATTAAAAAAGAGTTGGATTTCAAACTTTAAGAACCAAAAATAGGTTTTTTTAAGTAAAAAGACTAAAAAGAACTTTTTAGCAAAGTAGAGGAACCAAAATGAGGATTTAACCTTAAAGAAAAAAAAGCATAACATCTTATATTAAAAAGGCAAAAGGTGCAATTTACCCCTTATACTTGCAATGTTGTGGCAAGTTAGTCCCTATACTTTAAACCATGGCAAATCAGCCCCTTTGCTTCATGAAATTCTCAAAACAACCCTTTTAGTAAAGATGATGTCATCCAATCGTTAAACTATTCCATTGCCCATTGAAGTTTGATGAGCTGGTGCTGGTGGGTGTTGATTAGGCAATGACGTGAGCCAAATTCACTTGATTTGAGTTAAAATATTATGGCTAGTGATATAGTAACAACTTTTTTGTATAATTTTTTATGCAATTTTTACATGTCATCAAACAAGTAGATGCATTTCATATCATGAGTTACAAATGAATAAATTAGCCAATCATTAAATAATGCATAAGGTTATACACAAAATAATACAAAAAGTTGTCCTTGAATAATTTTTCAAATATTATATTACCATGTTAGCTAACCAAGGTCCAACAAATTTGGTCCATGTCATTGCCCAATCAACACCAACTCATCAGAATTTAACATGCAATGGAATAGTTTAACGATTGGATGATGTCATTTTTACTAGAAGGTTTGTTTTGAGGATTTCCTAAAGTAAAGGGGCTGATTTGTTATGGTTTAAAGTATAAGGACTGGCTTGCCACAATGTTGCAATTATAGGGGTTAAATTGTGCCTTCTAACTATTAAAAATATTAGAATACTTAATCACAATTATTAAATGTGTAGATGTAATGTAAAATTCAATTTCATTAAATTTATTATGTGATTACTATTAAACATTTTAATATTTTGAATACTAGCTGATATATCTTATTTGCCTTTTTCTTGTTGGCAACAAGAATACAATTACCCCCCAAAAAGGACAAAAAGCAGCCCCAGATAAAACACATAAAATACAAAAACAGTGAAACAAGAAAGATCCGGGTTTGAACTTCTAGCTGCAAGAACCAGTTGGAAAGATGCACCAGGACTCCAGAAGGCAATAAGTCAATAACCGAGAACGGAGGGTCCGATCCAAAACTCAGGGCCAGTGAGCTACGACCCATGAGAACAAAAGTAAGAAATGTACTGCTAACTACTAAATAAGGACGCAAAATAAAAAAACCATTATTATATATCCATACCCTCTTTATTTCATTACAGAGAAAGGGAAGGCTAACGTTTGGCGATCGTGTAGACCAAAAGAAAAAAAGTGCCATGGTGATTCTTTCATGGAAATGTTGAAGACGCGGAAGTAGGAAAGGTCTAAAAAAATTAAAATATACTTAAATTAACGCGTCTGATGTTGAAAAATGAAGTGGATGGAACCAACCAAGGGGAAACTACCGCCCAATTATGGGGTATTAATTAATGTTTCCTTTTCTTTTCTTTTTTTTTTT